GGGCAGAGAGTGAGTACGCGTTCAACAAGTGCTAACCACTTGTTTTGTTTCAGGGTTAGTCGCTTTGGGACACTCGGCTGTGCAAGAGCCAGCCCCAAGTGCAGCCTCTGAGGCGTCTCTGAGAGGCCACGTCACGGTGGTAGACGGCCATCGCTATTCCGTCCTTCTCCCAGGTGTCCTCCTCTGGTGCATGAATGATCATACCAAGAAACTACCAAGAGCTCGGACATGGCTGCCAGGTGTGTAACTGCCGGGGCTCAGCGCTTCAGGCTGTCCCCTGCCCTGGCCTGCAGGGTAGCATGTAGGCTCTCCCCAGCCCCTTGGGGCTCTGCACTAAGTGAGAGTTTGACCTTCTCCATGAACAATCTTGTGGACATAGGAGCTAGCATGTTTCTAGTGTTCACAGAGGTAAGGCAGGGCTGCCCTGGTCCAGGGAAACATCTCTGTGGAATGTTTGTTTACATGAAGGTTAGTACTTTCTGAGTGTCTCTGGCCTCCAGCCAATGGATGCCCTCTGCTCCTCTCCTCAAAGGCTGCTGAAATGCCTCCTCATTTCTCTAAAGAGATGGTCTTGTCATCGCCATCTGCCCCACGACGCCCAGTCGTTGTCTTAGTCCATACACCGAACTGAAACCGTCTTATTGGATCCTATCCTGGGGAAGTTGGGTCCGGGCTTTACCACAGCCAACATTGCTCGGCCTCCAGCCCCAGTTTCTGGGACATCTGACAGGCAGCTTGTTTGAAAGGGAGCCAGGTATGAAGGACAGCGCCGGCAAGGGCCTGAAAGCTGAAGCTGCAGCCCAGCATTGCTTCCCGGGTTCTCCTGGGCTGAAGCGCTAACAGCTTTGTATTCCCCTGCCTCGGGCCTTGGCACAAGTTCATGCCCCTGTCTTCACCTGGAAACTCTTGTACAGCCACGACACCTCAGTCTAAACACAGAATCATCATGTTCAATGCACTGTATGTCTCCCTAGGAGCGAATGCCTTCCTTAATTACCTACTGTCGGGGCTCTGAGTGCCGTGAAGGAATCTGGCTGGCTTGGTGAAGGAATGGGTGGGTGACCCGAGCAGATCTGCCTAGCATAGAGTCCAGCTCCCTGGTTCTGGGAGAGGGTGGCTTTGTCCAGCCCACTCCTACCAGGAGCTGCAGAGGGCCCCTCTTTCTTCTGAGGGGTTAGGCTCCTTGGCAGGGTTAAGCAGCCTTGACTCGGCCCTGTGCTGTCCCCTGGTGTCCAGTTGTGAAACGACATGTGATGGAGTAGCCTTCCTAAGAGGAAGAATGGTCCTAGGGATTGACAAATAAAGTTTAAATGTGTTGTCTTGGTGGATAATTAGCACATACTGAATTTTGAAGCACTGTGCAAGGGTCTAGAACTTCTTTAATAAGCAGCCCTCATGGAGCCAACATTCAGGCTGTTCTGGATGGGGGTGGGGGAGGGGAGACAGCAAGCGATTGAACAGACACACACACGATTGCAGGCTGCCAGGGTAACACCAGCTGGTGCTTTGGCAGGTCAGTTGCTAATTTACATCTCTGTGATCAAAGATGTGTGGCCTGACTTGGACCCAGTGGTGACGATTATGGCTAACACCTATCTCAGAGCCAGGCTCTGTTTTTACCCTCATGACCACTGTTCCTACATTTCTCAGATAGAAAGCAAATGCAGAGAGGCCAGGACACTCTTTAATATCACTCAGACACATGGCCTGTCTTCTGAAGATGCTAAGTTTGAACCCCCACAGCTGCAGGCACGGCGGCCACAGACCCCGTGTCCCCCTCTCCTGTCCCACAGACCCCATGTCCCCCTCTCCTGTCCCAGCAGGCTCAGAGGAGCCATTCATGATGTCCTTTTTCCCTGTTGCTGTGATTGGATGCTCTGAGAGAAGCAACTTTAAGGAGGAAAGACTAGTTCTGGCTCAAAGCTCCAGGTAGAGTCCAGTGTGCCTGGGGACGTCAAGGAAGCAGGGGCTTGACGTGGCTGGTCACATCCTGCCCTTGGTCAGGGACAGAGAGCAGCATCCTGCTGGGCTCCCATCCTCACATGCACAGTTTGGATCCCAGTCGGGGAGTGGTGCTACCAATGGTAGGTGGTCTTCCGACCTCGGTAGCACACGCAGAGGCCTCTCCCAGACGATTCTAGATTCTCCCAGGTTGACAGTTTGACAGTCAGTATCATCCTCTTTCTAATCCAAGAGACTTGAACTAGGGAGAACAAAGGAGAAGGCGTTGTGGAAGGCCCGTGTCCTCGGAAAGCCCGATGGACTGGCTGTGAGAGCGTCAGCCTTGCGGGCTCTGAGGCAGTGGGATCCCTGGACGGGAGGTGTTCAGAGGAGGACAGACTGAAGGGGGCATAGGGGTTTAGTGGGACCCGAAGCTGCAGCTTGGTGGCCCTGACTGATTCCTCCAGCCGCCATCCACGTCCTCACAGCCCTCGAAGGGTGGCCAGGCCATGCTTCTGCCTCCAACCTTCGTCTTCCTCCTGCTCAAAGGTCACCAGAAGGCCTGGGTAGCCCCCGATCATCGTGCAAAGCAGGCGGCCCACACCCCTCTGTGCACCGGGCTTCTCTGCACATATCCTTGTGGGTGGCTCAGTGGGGCTGAGTGCTCAAGGTCACCAGAGGGTAGGGATGGAGTGAGCACCTGCAGACCATATCCTACCCAGTTTTGAGTGACAGCTCCTGAGACAAATGTCAAGAAGGCAGAGTGTTGGGCAGAGACAGCAGTGTACACACACAGCAATATACACACAAATGTAGTACATGTTCACACACCTGTAAACACAGGTGTGAACATACAGCACACACACTCATATGCACAACATGTTTGTGTGTACACACTTACAGACATGCTTGAAGTGCACCTGATCAAACTATGTTCATGCATCCATGACCCCACATGAACGTGTACACACAGAGAGAGTACATACATATACTACATGAAAACATACTAACACATATATGTCCACATACATATGAGTCATGCTTCATACAGCCTAAGCTGACCTCAAGCTTGCCACGTAGTGGAGGATAACTGTGACCTTCTGATTCTCCTGCTTTCTCCTTCTGGGTGCTGGAATTAAGGCATGCATCACACCCTGCCCCCCTGGCTTACACAGTTCTGGAGATGAAACCCAGGGCCTCGTGCATGTTGGGCAAACTCTCTCCCTGCTGAGGTATAGGTCCAGCCTGCATGTATACGTACTTCTAAAACATGACTCCCAGCCCCTCCCTTGCTGGGGTGATGACCTAGCTGCTCAGGCCTGGTGTAGGAACTGGCTGGACTGTGACCGTGGACAGCCGGGGTCCAGATTGCCTGTGGAGGAACAGCTGCACAGGAGACTCCATTGAGCCTCTGCTGACACCTTGTGGCCATGTTCCAGATGGCACTAGTCTCTGTCACTGAGCTCCTGAGAAAGTTGTAGCTTCTCTTGAACCTGCACAGTCCTGGGACAGGCCTCATGGGGGTTTTGTCAAACACCATGGGAGCAAGTTCACACTCCTACACCCACAAACCCTTTTCCTCCGTCAAACTGCCACCGGGTCTCTGTTTCATTGCCTGCTGACTGGCGAGCTCCTGTGGCAGACTTGACTGTGGCCATCCGGGCGTCTGGAACTACCCTGATCTTTGGTGTAGATGGGTGTTCTGAGAATGTGGAGTGGGCAGGTGAATTGGTGGCAGGCAGAGAAAATGGGTTTCCTTGTCTCAGGAAACCCTTCCGGCCTGAGAACCTCGTACACTGGGGATAAAGTAACACCAAGGACGTGGAGGACTTTGTGGGAGGTGGTGACTAAGGTCTTGTGTGTGTGGCTACACTGGAAGCTGCTGCCAATTGGACGGTGTTGCCAGGCCTGAGGGGACAGCCTCCTGGGGGTGGTGCACTACCCAGGCTCGTCCAAAGCAGGGAAAAGGTTCCTTCTCTACAATGCCAGGCCACATGGAGCCAGTCTTGAGTGCCACCTTTATTAAGAGATGCCCAGAGCACACAACAAACTAAAATCTTAGGCATTTCCAGAGATGATTAACCCACCCATGCCTTCATTGCAGGATGGTATTATCGGGGATGGGTGAAGAGCCGGAGATAAGGCCTTAGGGGCCGCCATCATGGTGGGCTGTCTCTTTCTTGCCCTGGTCCCTTCCTGTCTCCCCCACATTCTCTGCCTCCTGGCAGCCATGATGTGAGTTCTGCTACACCCTCCTTGCTGTGAGGTACTGAACCCCCAAAACCATGAGCCCAAATGAACAATCCCTCCCTTAATCCCTCTCTATTGTGTGGGAATCAAGATTCACTAGACTCAGCACAGACTAAGTGAAGTTTATTCCGAGAGAATGCACTCACCCAAGAGGTGCGAGGCTGCCTCAGGATCCTCCCAGGCTGTTCCCTGTGACCCCACCAGCAGCAAGAGGCACACACTCTGGGGTCCTCGCCCCAGATCTAGCTAGGCCTGTCTTCTGTCATGACCTCCGGCCTGAGCCGCTGCCCCTTGAACTTTATTTGGTTTCCTGAGCATCCAATAATCGCCACTGACCTCTCCACCTTGCTGCAGCTGCTCGTCGGGTGACGTCGCTTTCCCTTCCTCACCGGGAAGAGACGACTGATGCCAGGTTCAGGTGCACAGCTTCTGCGAGCATTCCCTGATGTCCCCTAGATGTATGAGAGCCCCCTTCTCCTGTGCTCACCTCCCCACTCATCTGACACGTGTCGCACAAACCTTTAGGGCCCGACTGCCTTCCAGACAGCCCTCGTGAGGACAGGTCTGCGGAGGGTGACTTTATCACTCCGCAGTAGGCACACAATCCTACCAGCAAGTCTCCAAGCAGTAGTCACCAAGCCTTGGTGTAGTTCTGGTGACAGGGGTGATGCACATGGGTGATCTGGGGAAAACTTGGACCTGACCTTGGGAGGACGGGCTGAGAAATGTGTGGGTAGGGTTGCTGGTGCGCATGTGACCCAACTGAGCCTTTCTGGGCTCTTCTTTTCTGTTGGTTGCTTTCCAAGCTGCCTTCCTAAGTCTGCTTTAGAAATTCACAAAACCGTCTGCAGAACCCATCCTTCTAAAGCCAGACCCCTCTGCTCATGGGACTGGATGCAAAAATCATCACCTACTCTAGCGCCTGAAAGGTACCTGGTCAAGGAGGAGGCAGGTGAGGGGTGGGGATGAGGGGGAGCAAGTGAGCAGGGAGGAGCAGCACCAGGTTAAAAACAAAACAAAACACAAACCTGTTTCTCAGCCAGCCTGCTCTGGGCCCCCAGGTTGATGTGGAAGCCGCCGAATGTGTGTATTTGTGGCGTCTTAAGTAGGTCAGATATTTCTGTCGCTAATTATTACTGGGAAAAGCTACGTCGGGAGCTTGCCGCAGGGGGAGAGTATTGGAGCAGCATGGATCTTCAGAACCTCAGGCCCGTCCTCCACGAAGGCCTGGTGACAGCAAGGACAGAGCCAGGGGAATGCCGTGCAAGTCCCAAGGGGTGTGGGACAGGAAAGTCTGGAAGGAAATAGGGAGCCCCCCACAGGGTCCTGTCCCTTGTCTGCCTTACTTTCTCACTGGGCTCTATCTTCAGTTTGTGTGTAAATTCTGGCTCCTGAGCTCCTGAGTGGAAGATGATCTTTTGGGGACCAGGGACCCTTGTGACACAGGGTCACTCCCTGTGGAAGGTAAATACCCACCAGAATCAGCTGGGGAGTGGGAGAAACATTTCTGACGTTAATGTCAGGCAGCTTGTGAGACAGCTCAGTGAGTACAGGTGCTTGCTGCAGAGGTCAGTGAAGATTGACTCCCTTGACCCACACGGTGGAACCGGAGGACCGATTCCCATAATGTGTCCTCTGACCTCTACATAGTTCACAGGACACCTGAGCACCCGTACCCACAGCCACACTTGAACACATACGCAAAATAAATAAAAAATGCAATAAAAAATCAGGTGGAAAATTTCGCTGTCCATGGATCAGAGTCACTCAGTGCCTAAATATTTACAGAGGACTGAGTGTGCGTTGGTCATTGTGCCAAGAGGTTGGACAGATGGACCCACTCAACGTGGCTTATTCTCCTCTCTTCCTTTCTTTATTGAGGGGGAGGGGTCTCACTATGCTGCCAGGTTGAGTTTGAATTTATACCCTATTCCACCTTGGTCTCCCCTGTGCTGGAATTTTAAGCAGGCACCACTGAGGAGCTGTCAATAATTCCTTAAATGTCCCTCTTGGTGAAGCTCAGAAGGCGAAATCTCTGGCCCAAAGTTATACAGACAGTCAGCAGCAGACTTGGATGAGACTTCATCTTGGGTCTAGGGATGCAACTCAGTTGGTAGAGACTGAGGGCTCCGTCCTCAGCCCCTCACAAACCCTACTGGTGGCACAACCTGTCGTCCCAGCACTTGGATGGTAGAGGTAGGAGGACAAGAAGCTCAAGGTTACCCTTCATTATATAGCAAGTCCAAGGCCAGCTGCTGATCCAACAGAATCCAGTCAGACTCCAAGCCAGCCTCTTAATAATGCTGGGTTAGGCCCCACAGCTGTACTGAGCGAGCAGCTAAGAATGCAAACACACCCACTCCCCTCCTAAGACAAGGCATTCCTCTAATTAGTTTTCTTGTACAGGCTCTGAGACTTGTCAATTCTTTATGCAAAGTTATGCAGAATATGTAAATCCGAGGAGGCTCTGGTTGTTTGTCACCAGTGGGGCCACAGAGAGTCTCAGATCTGAGGGGCAAAGCTTCCAGGTGGCCTGGGCATAGGGTGGGTGTCAGGTTCCTATCCACAGTGTCACTGGCTTTAAAGTCCCTGTGAGAACTGTGCCCCAGAGCTGGAGTGCAAAGGCTCCTGGGAAGTGGACAGAGCTGACTTCAGATGCCTGCACAGGCATGGATCTATTTGTTTGGAAGTTCTTGGCTTTGATTCTCAGGAACATGAACTCTCAAATGCAGAGTAGGTGAGCTGGTCTCATGAGTGTTAAGTTCCTGCGATAACCACAGTGTTCAGATTTTTGTTTGTGTGCAGGCTTCTGGAAAGTACTGCCCTCTCGTTTTCTCCACTGTTTCTTTTGTGGCTTTGCTTGTTTTCTTGAGCTCACTGTGTTGCCAAGGCTGTCTTCAAGCTCCTAAGTGCTGGCAGCCTGGCTGCTGTCCCAGTGACTGGGACCGCATCTGCACGACACTGCACTGGACTGGCCCTTCAGTGACCTCTGTCCCACACACCTCTTACAGTCAGAACCCCGACACTCCATGTTGGTTCTCTAGGGAGTGTTCTGGCCTTCTAGAACCTGCCATGCCTTCTCCTGACTCCTGTGTCTTCTACCTGCTACTCCTACAATCTAGCCCTCCCTTCAGCTCTGACCCTCTTCTTCCCTCAAGGGTTAATTCTTCGTTCATCGGCTCCACCGCCTACTCCAGGCCAGCTGGGGCTTCCTTCATCCTGAACGTTCCTGACTATGCCTATCAGCTGGCTACTTGCCTGCTTTCCACAGGAAGAGTGAGGATGTCCCCCAGGGACTGGGACCTGTCTTCTCCATGTTCTCCAAAGCTTGTAGCACTGGGCCGCCATGGTTCAACCATTCCTAATTAACAGTGAGGAATGAATAAGTGAGAATGAGTGTTCCCACCCTCAGTCAGAAATGACCCCCAAAGCAGCTGAGTTCCCCACTCAGTTTGTGACTTTAGACTAAAAATAGGTACAAGGACACCAAGCTCCTCACGCGCCCTAATATACATTTTAATTTTTAATAACTTGAGAAATCAGTGACTATACCTGTGGGAAAATGATGAGGAGTCAGCCACATAAATTAATGGAAAGTATGTGTTCACAGTATCTAACTGTATTAAGTGTGAATAATAATTAATTATAGATTCTGCACGCAGCCGTGGCCTAGAGAATTCTCTAAGCCGATGGGAAAGAATTTAAAAAGTCATCCATCACCCCTGTGCTCCACCCCAGGCCATAACATAACAAGCAATAGCCAAAGAATTTTCCATAATTTATGAAAACCAGTATCTTGCAGAAAAAAGAGCTGGTATTAGGAGCATAATTGCTTGGAAAAAAGAGCTAGGGCCAACTGTGGTTTAAGTATTTGAATCATCTGCTTACCCTCCTTATTTCCCTTGCATTCACTTATCCGTCCATCCATCCATCCATCCATCCATCCATCCATCCATCCGTCCATCCATTTCCATCTGTCCATCCATCTCCACCCGTCCATCCATCCATCCATCCGTCCATCCATTTCCATCTGTCCATCCATCTCCACCCGTCCATCCATCCATCCATCCGTCCATCCATTTCCATCTGTCCATCCATCTCCACACGTCCATCCATCTCCCTCTGTCCATCCATCTTCATCTGTCCATCCATCCATCTGTCCATCTCCATCCATCCATCCATCTGTCCATCCATCTCCATCTGTCCATCCATCTCCATCCATCCATCTGTCCATCTCCATCCATCCATCCGTCTGTCCGTCTATCTATCTGTCCATCCATTCCCTCACTCACCACATGCCCTGGGGTGTGTGGAGAGGTGAATAGTGAGAAGCACATGGCCGCACGAACTCTAAGTGCATCAGTACCTATTTGGATTTAAATCAAAGTTTATCAGAAGCCTGTGGGGTATTAATCAAGTTGTTTAACCTTTCCGCGCCCCACTTTTCTGAATGGTGATAACCTTACCCTGAGTGGTAGGTTTCATGTGGAGGGTGAATACAGCACTCTTGAAGTGCTTATCATGGCTGTCTAAACACTCAGCAGATGCTACCCTTAGCTGTGGCTGAGTGCTGTGTGGGTGTTACTTAAGACAGACCAAATTCCTGCCCTTGAAAGAGCTGTTGACTATTACAGGGCAGACAGCAAGCATAGCCAATGCCACAAACAACCCGTGCCACTCATGCAGAGGACCGCAGCACTGTCCTAGGGAATAGGTCAGGCAGCTCCAGGCAGAGGACCGCAGCACTGTCCTAGGGAATAGGTCAGGCAGCTCCAGGCAGCTGAAGGTCCACAGAGCTGCTCAGGTGACAAGTTGGTGGAAGAAGCTTTCAGATCCTGGCTCCGTGGTCTGCATTCTACCCAGACGCCCTTCGCATGTGTATGTGTGTTCGAGGATGTGGAGGCCAGAGGCCAGCCTTAGTGCTGTTCCTTGGGGTCTACTCACTTTGTTTTTTGGAGGCAGGGCCTCTCAGTGGGACCTGATTAGCTCAGGCTGACTGGCCAATGAGTTTCAGGGATGTGGTACTAGGAGTCTGCACAAACACTCCAGTTTCTCTCTCTCTCTCTCTCTCTCTCTCTCTCTCTCTCTCTCTCTCTCTCTCTCTCGCTGTGATTCCTGAGAACATGTTACCAGCAAAGCTGTCTCTCTAGGCCCTGCTTTGACTTTCTAAAGGAAGGACCCATCACACCAGATGTTAAGACACCCACAGAGCCCACACACTAAGCACGTGATGGGACACAGAAGGGAGCTGGAAGGGAACCTCAGGAGGAGGTCCATAGAGACTCTGAGCTGGGCGGACGAACCATAGCAAGAGTGGAGGTCAGGGCCCTGGTCAGGGAAGATGAAGGGAGGGAAGAAAACCCCTCTCTGCCTCCCTCTCACCAGCTGGATCAACTCAGAACGCAGCAGCACTAGAGTCCTACAGAGAACCAAGGGAGGCGGGGAGGTCGCCTGACTCAGGAGTGATGGGTAGGGCTGAGAAAACAGAGGCAAGAGGGAGGGCTCTCCCGCAGAGGAAAACAGAAAGCAGGCGAGCAAGGGTGAAGTCAGGAAGAGGAGCAGCAAACGGTTAGCGTGCACATTCTGCAAAGAACTCCCACAAAGCAGCAGTGATGCTCTGTGCAAACTGGTGGAGGAAGACGTCCAAGAACCCGGAAGCACACGAGATGTGTGGGCGTGTCAGAGAGTCGAGGCTCGGGCTAGGGAGGCTCACTGGACTGAGTGTTGGATCCTGGCACCCAAGTGAAAGCTGGGTGTGGTGGTGTGTGCCTATAACCCAGTGCCAATGGGGCAGAGACAGGGTGGGTGGGGGGGTCCAGACGTTGCCGACCAGTGAGTTTATCCTAAATGAGGAGATTGTCTCAAAAATAATGTGGCAAACCTTAGAGGAAGACGTCTAACATCTACCTCTGGCTTCTCCATGTGAGTGAAGATGTACCCCACATATCACACACATACAAGCACACGCACATACACACGCATGCACACATGCAGGCAAGCCAATGCGTGCAAAAGAAACCCTGCTACTCCTTCCCAGTCTGGATGGCAGCAGCCAGAAAGACAAGTGAACCCAAGGATGCAGGGAAAGGGCCGCTCTGACCGCGCCCTGCACGCGGGGGCTAATCTCTAGAATGCCTAGTGTGGGCACCACAGCCTCAAACTCTGCCTGTGGCATACGCCAGGGCATGTAAAAGGAAGGTTCTCCCTCAAGACCCTGGCCAGCTACCTACTGCCTGCAGAACGAGCTGACGGGTGGGACAGCTCCCACCTGGAAGGGGCACTCTTGCTTGCCTGTAGGGTGCTGGCCTTTCAAAAGCTGTCTGAGAAAGGAATTTGGCATTTCTTCCCAACTGTCCTAACACTGTTGCTGTGATAAACAACATGACCAAAAACAGCTTGGGGAGGAAAGTGCTTATCTCACAGTTTACAGTCCGTGGTGGTTGAGGGAAGTTGGGGCAGGAACTCAATCAAGGCAGGAAGTTGTAGCAGAAATCATGGAGGAATATTCACTGCTTACTGGCTTGATCCCAAGCTCACATTCAGTTACATTTCTTGTGTAGAATGCCTAAGAATGCCACTGTCCAAAGTAGGCTGGGCTCTCCTACCTCAATCATCAGTCAATAAACGTCCCACAGACATCCCTACGGATCACTATAATGGAGGCAATTCTTCAACTGAGTTCCTCTTTCTAAGTGTGTCAAGTTGATAGTGAAGATTAGCCATCACAGCGACTCAGCGAGGCCCGTCCTGGACACTCATCCCAAGCCACCTCACACAGGGTGAAAAGGAGTCTGCTAGAACTATTATGGCAGTGTTTGTGGGTACCAGAGGTTTGGAGGCCACTTAGATGTCCTTCACTGGGGAGATGCAGGAGCAAGCGTGGGGCGTTCTGGTGAATTCCGTACAGTTAGAGGCAGCTATGACATACCACCGCATACTCCTGGTACTGATCAATATAATAAAAAGTGGAAGACAGGGCTACTTCCTAGAATTAATCCACATTAATTAAAACACACAGAAGCAGAATAACACAGCATGTTTTGTAAGGATTCATACATATTTAAGGACATGCAGTAAATCCGTTAGTGTGGATGATTGTGGGGAAGAAGTGGGGTAAGGAATAAAGGGGGAAATCAGGAAAGAAGGAAGGGAGTCTGTGGAGAGCATCTTGCACAGTGTGGGGGCAGGACACTATGGGGAGGTGTGGGCCTTGCTTTGCCTTAGTCTGATAGAAACAAAAAGACAACAAAGCCAAGAAAGAAAGAAAAAATTTACCCAACATTGGAAGTCATTCTGGTTAGAATCTAAAATGGGCCCCCATCCTAGAGTGACATTTTGAACACTCGGTCCCCATTTGATGCCATTTTGGGAACTCTAAGAAGCATTGGGAAGTAGGGCCTGGCTAGTGTCAGGAGATCCTCTGGCATGGGCCTTTACGTTTATATACAACCTCTCTGCCTCTAGATCCACCATAACATGGAGAGCATCTGCCACAGCCTGCTGCAGCCTGAGCTACTCTGCTGTGCCCTCCTTGTTAGGAAGGCCTGGTGGCCAGTCAATCTGTGCTCCCTCAGGTGTTTCTGACAGGTTCCTGTGGTCCTAGTGCCGCAAAGGTAAGCTGTGGAGGTCATCTTTCCTCCTCCCAGCTGGGACGATGGTTCTCTGCCTGGGAAATGAGGGCTGGGGGGCAGCTGCACAGACTTCGAGTGCCTGCCGCCTGCTTTTTCTCCACTTACAAACAGCTGGACAAGCCGAGCATCTGCTGGACTGACTTTCTATTTTCCTGCACACACGGTGTCATTGGCCAGGTGGGAGGGAAGACAGTCTATGAGGCACCCTGGCCCTCCTCCTTTGACCATGACTTCAGAAACAGTGCTCCCCAAGGAGTTAGACTCTCAAGGGAAGGGAGAGAGCTCATACCTGCCAGAGAAGGAGTGTGGCTTCTGGGAATACATTTTACACAGCTCTGACACATTGTTAGCTCAACTAACAAGAGAGACTGGAGCTGGGACAATGGCTCAAGGATGGGTGGATCACACCTTGACCGTGTCCAATTAATTATGCACATCTCTTGTCCCCTGTTTGCACTTGGACCTCATATCAGAGCCCTGAAGATGGACATTGGGGAGGGGGGTCATCAGGATTGTTTGTTTCTCTTCCTGATATGGCCGCAAGGAACACATATCCTTTCTGTGTTGTCTGTTTAGTTGGCCTGTTCAGAAGGGGCTGCCGTGGCACCTGCTCTGACCATAGTGACTGGTTAAAGACAACAGTGTGACCCCCATCAGCCTGGGAGGGGACAATAATGAGATCCAAGAAAGCAAGCACTAGGAGTATGGCCTCTTTTTGTCAAGAAGTTGAGTGATCTTGGCCAATGACTTTTCCTTCCTGGGCCACAGTTTCCCACTGGGTGCTTTTTAATGGAAGACACTGGCTTCGTTTCTCTTCCCAGCTTCTCTGGTTCCTTCCAGGTGCACAGTCAGCCTCAACGCCCGTCCCGTGATAAGGGTTATGAAGCCCAGAGTTTCAGGCGACAGAACGTGCTTGAGGAGGCAGTCAAGTGCTGGGGTGACTGGTGGTTCAGCTGAGAACAGCTGTCTCCAGCATCCTAGCTTCCCATGTGCTCAGCCCACATGTGCTCCCATTCCTGCCTCCTCAGCTTTGGAGCTGGACTCACACGCCACTTCCTTGAAGATGCTGGTCACTCTGAGCTCCCCATCCGGCCTGGGTGGAAATGCTCAGCTGCTCCTGCTTCTTCAATGTATGTCTTTTCACAGCCTCGTAGTGACCAGAGGCAAGGACTACCCATGACTCCCTTCTCCCTGGCCCTGCCCAGTGGGTAGTGGCGGTTGAACACATTGAAGAATGGGAGATGAGCAAGTGACTGAGTGAATTTGCATCCTTGGTGGGGGTCACACATCCTGTGTCATTCTGGGATGACAAATGAGCTTCTTGGAAGGCATGGTGCCCTTTCAGGGGCAGTGAGTGCAGTGAGTGCAGTGATTGAGTGCAGTGAGTGCAGTGAGTGCAGTAAGTGCAGTGAACACCATAAGTGTAGAGTGTGCAGTGAGCGCAGTGAGTGCAGTGAGTGAGTGCAGTGAATGAGTGCAGTGAATGAGTGCAGTGAATGAGTGCAGTGAACACCATAAGTGTAGAGTGTGCAGTGAGTGCAGTGAGTGCAGTGAGTGCAGTGATTGAGTGCAGTGAGTGCAGTAAGTGCAGTGAACACCATAAGTGTAGAGTGTGCAGTGAGTGCAGTGAGTGCAGTGAGTGCAGTGAATGAGTGCAGTGAATGAGTGCAGTGAACACCATAAGTGTAGAGTGTGCAGTGAGCGCAGTGAGTGCAGTGAGTGCAGTGAATGAGTGCAGTGAATGAGTGCAGTGAACACCATAAGTGTAGAGTGTGCAGTGAGTGCAGTGAGTGCAGTGAATGAGTGCAGTGAACACAATAAGTATAGAGAGTGCAGTGAGTGCAGTAAACACCATAAGTGTAGAGAGTGCAGTGAGTGAGTGCAGTGAGTGCGGGTGAGTGTTGTGAAGGTGTTCCCTGCTTGAAACTCAGAGTAGGGAGGCTGAAGTGTCCTCCCTTCTGAAGTGTTTCTCAGAATGGGACGAAGGGTGACCAGTTGACCGCATTATGTCCTGGATCCTAGGAACTCTCGCTGAGGAACACTCATGCACTGCTGTTGCAGGAAATGGACTGACTTACTGGGGCAATTAAGGCCATGTTTGAAGTCACCAGTCACTGCACAGCACTGATGCTACCCCCCACCTTCTCTCAGGCTGTCACGACCCCAGATGCATTTGCTAAACAGCTACAAACTCCTACAATCTCTGCCAGCTGCTGAGACGTCACACCCTTGGCCACTTGGCCCATGTTCCATGACCTCTCCCCACCCTATTGCTGGGATCAGCACCTGTCCCTTGGGGCATGAGGCAAACGGGGAAATGGCAAGAGGTGTGGAATTTCAAGGGGAAGGGTGATTTATAGGCATACAGCTGGCATCCTGGCACAGGGGAAGCCACCGGTTGGGTTGGTTAGCCACTCTGGGGCGTTTGTGTCCCCCCCAGAGGACCTCCATGGGTACTCTAAAGTCCCCTGCCGTTTCTCAAGCAGGAGGGCTGTGAGAAGAGCTCCAGCATGCAGGGGTGAGGCTTTGGCATGCAGAGTGAGGACTGAAGCAGACAGACATAGCAGCGTTGGTCTGTGTCCATTAGCTGGTGACATCAGCAGGTGGGGGTGGGCTTAGAGTATGGATTTCACTGTCACCCCATGTGCCTCATTCTTTGTGTATAATGTCCCTCAATGATGGACTGTCCCCTGAACTTGTAGGCAGAAGAAACCCTGTCCTCTCCAGGTTGCTTTTGGTCATGGTGTCTGATGACAGCAATAGAGAGCCTGACTACCACTTTGCTGGCGGTGGAATGCAGGCTTCTGCTATCACCATCTCCACAAAGGATATCACATTTTTTTCTGAAAAGGAAAACCAGGCTCAGGGAGGGGAGAGAGCTCATTGGAAGTCCTGTTGAAACTGAGTGTATCTGAGCTGGGCTGAGCTCAGCTGAGAGCCAAGTCCTTGCCTCTGTCCCCATGACTGTCACTCAGTCTCCTTATCAAGCTATGAGCGAATTCTGTAGTTGAAGACAGTCTGTTAATCAATCATCACAGAATAGGGACCACTTATGGCCTCTGCAAGGGTCTGGCATATTTCCCTTTCTGGAATTTTCCACTTCCCCTTCCCATTTGAGCTTGCTTCCTAAAACCCGAAACCTTATAACCAAAATCTGACTGGCTCACTGCATGCCCACCCCAGCAGCCAGCCTCTTTATTTCTAAAGATTTCTTTGAATTTTCTCAGTACCGTGTCTTTGATTTTTATGACATTTCCACAATGCCCTAAGTGATCTTAGCATTTTCCCTAAACGGGAAAAATAAAAAAGTAAAATGCTCTCCTGGGGAGAAAGGGCAAATTGTATGTTCTTTTGTTTACACATGTGTACAGAAAACCATTATTCTCCTTGGTGATTTTCCATGTGATATCAAAAGAGAAATGGAGAAACTAGGACTTTGTAATGGCTCCTGAGGGACTCTTTCCTACTTGGTGACCCCAGAAAGGCCCCAAGCGTCCAGCTATTTTTGAAGGGAAAGAGGAAATGTGGATGATGGCCTACACCAGCCACAGGTCAACGAGTGGCTAACTTATTCTTATGATCGCTTATTTTTATTTTTATTTAATCTGATGTTTTGATGCAGTCGTTGGCATTTTGTGTTTGACCTTAGACTAGCAACATTCATCTGGGCAGTCAGTGGACTGCATTTGAGGGAGGAGAAGTCACCTGTTTCCTTAAAACATGGCCACTCTGCTCATGCAGCTGATGGAGGTCAAGGTTCACCCGGCCGTTATCTCCTTGCTCTTCTTTAGGCAAGCAAGCAACAGACAAACAACATTTACTCTTTTGCCACCTGGAGCAGGAGCCTGCTTCCTCTGACCCAAGGTTTTTACCAAGGTGTCTGCACATCCAGGGATGAACTTGAGCCCAGTCCTGACCCAGGAGGAGGGCAACACAGCTCTATAAAGGACTGCCTTCCCTAGAGTCTGAGCTCCATAAACTTCAGCTAAGGTACTAGGGGTCATGGTAGGAAGGAGGGTGCAGTTGTGCCCCCTTCACAAACACCCAGAGCCGTGAAGTGTTGACCTCAGTTCAGTGCTGAGACCTTGGTTCAAGCACAGGAGAGCGCTGTCTAGAGTCCCTGCAAAGCCTGGGTGACCCGGGTCAGTCCCTTTCCTTCCCTGCCCCTCCCTTCTCCTTTAAAATAAGATGTGCTGTTGAATGACTTCTAAGACTCTTCCACCGTGGACTGCTTATAAAATGTGGTCTTCTCGAAGCTCCAGCCCACACCCAGATCTTTGCAGAGTCACGGCTACGTTCAGTCAAGATCTGAAGAGAATTTAACAGGGCTGGAGAAACGAGCCACTATCCTGTCTTAAACAGTCTCCATGTGGTGCTCACCACTATTTGGTGAAGACTGTCCCATCACCACCCGCATTTCACAGGTGGGGGCATGGAGGCCACGTGCCTGCCGAGTGGTGAAGCCATGATTAAACCGCAAGGTCCTTTCCCGTCCCGTGTGCTTGGTGTTGGCTCTCTATCCACGTCCAGTGCAGACCATGAGCCAGGGCAGGGACAGCATCTTGGTCTTTTCTGAATCTACAGGAGCCAGGGTCTGGCCCAGATAGATGCCAATTGGCACTGTGGCATGGACGGGTGCCCAGGCCTTGGTGCTAACTGTGCTCCGCCCACTTTTGATTGAAAGGGAGGTCGGACCTGTCGAGATTGGAGGGGAAAGAGCCTGGGGCTCAGGATTAACCCTGCAGCTGAGTGGGTACTCAGTCCTCATGACTGCCCAGTCAGACAGCCAGCTGGGAACTGAGCTCCAGAAGACCAAGTGCTTTGCAGAAATACTGATATCGTCTAAACCAGTGCCTGGTGGGCCAAGAAGACTGTAACCCCATGCCCTTGTTGACTGAGTATAGAGAGAGGGCCACTGTTAGCTCGCGAGTCTTTCTTTTAAAATATTTATTTCTAAGCATGTGTGTACATATATGTGTGGGTGGATGCCTGAAGAAGCCAGAGGTATCGTTTCCCATGGAGCTGGGGTTCCAGTGAGCCCCCTGATGTGGGTTCTGGGAATTGAACTCAGGTTTTCTGGAAGAATAATCCACAGCCTCTTAAACTATCTTGTTTGTGCTTTTCGTCATTTTCAAATTTTTGTGTAATGATTTTTTAAAAAGCAGAATAACAGCCCCATGTTTACAGGTGGGACCAGTCACAAGACTACGTCTTCATTTCCACGCTTTGGGGAATACTGAAGTGGTTGTTTGGCGGCAGAACCACATCGCAAAGAACTAAGGCTACCTGTCTCTTTAAAAACCATAAGGCGAGGAAAGCCGAGAAGCCCCGCCATTACCACAAGAGGGCGTCTCAGGGTCACTGAGAAGCAAACCTAAGCCCAGGACCCTTGCAGCTCAGCAGAGAATGACCAAGGAGTAGTGACCCCACCTTCCCAGCGCTGCGAGGAGCCTCTTTCTCTTCTATGTCGCTGGAGCCATTCCGGCTCTCTTCAACCCCGAGGGCGTCCGGGTGGGGGTGGGGTGTGTGTGTGCAGAAATGGAGATGGCTGTACTGCCCTCTACATCCCTGCCCTGCCAACAACACCCCCTCTTGGGGACTGAGGTCTGGAGCAGCCATATTAAAGACATCTATCTGTCCCCAACCTTGTCAAAATCTACCCGAGGGAGCACCACATCTTTTCTCTGAGACGCTGCAAAGGGTGCTACCTCGGTGGAAACCCATGCAGGACACCGCACGCATCATCTCATTTGGGGCCGGCGAGCCCAACAGAGAAGTGCTGCCGGCCCATTTTAACATGGGAAGACTGAGACTCAGGGAGGGTCAATCATGTGTTCGATGCCTCTCAGCCTTTCTGGAACACGGAGAATCAGGACGGCAATCCCAGAAGGGTCCAGGCTTTCCTGAGTCCCCACCTCCTGTGTCAGGAAGAGACTGGCCTTGGGGTGGGAGGGTCCTTGCCCGAGACGGTGGGCAGCAGGGTGGGCAGGGCGCAGGGAGGCCAAGCTTTGCTTCCAGTGACCTGCGAGCCTGCGCAGGGGACCGCCCTCTCCCCATTAATGCACGCTTTACTTACACTTCTTGCTACAATTACTCCGCGGTAATTAACAAGGGAAATAACACATCTGGGGCTAACTGCGGCTCCAAACAGATGTGCGAGATGCAGAGGCGTGCGGAAGCCCTCATCTGCACTGAGCACCTACGCAGAGGGAATGAGCCCCGGGAACAAGGCCCCTGCCGGCCGCCAGG